AAACTAGGGTTGTTGTGTACCTAGAAGTGTACCTAGTTTCAATATTTTAGAAAAGTACATTTTGTATTATATTATCATGAAAAACAAACACGACTCAGTGAGTAGTGTTATTAAATTTACTTACCCACTTTTTTTTTTAAATTTATAGAAATATTTCTCAAAATTAAGAATACAAATATGAACGCAAATCAATAGAGTTTCAAGCCATATGGGTAAATGACTTTCTCTGAAAATCTAAAGTCATTATGCGTGCAAAAATAAGGTAAAAAAGAAACAAATATTCATAAATAGAAAAAGACATCAGTTACCTAGATAGAACTATCAGCTTTTTTACATCACTGTTGGTTTCTTGGAAATGCTGAGGTCCTGTTTTTGACTTTATCCAAACCCTCTTTACAATATTTTCGTTGACAGGCAACTCAAGAGTCGCGGCTACGAACACGGCGATGATGGAAAGTTCAATGTGCATGATTTTGTGCGTGATAATACAAAGGCTCGCTCCGTTTGCGGCGCCCAGTGCAGAAACATGTAATTGGCCAGCTTGCGAACAACAAAAGCCATATTCTCCCGATCCCGCGCACAAAGACAACAATAAACCGGCAGTCAGATCAAAGGGAAGTGGGGCCCTCAGAGGGATACAGATGGGAAATGTACGATGGAGCACGTGGGGCAGAGTCGAACTTCTGCATTTAATGAGACACACTCGAACAACAGATTCACACAAAGACATAAGATGGCACCAATTTTGTAAGACCCTAGTGAGGAGGTAGAGTATTCGGGATGTTTTGTATGTAAATGGGTATTTCGGGGCGCAACGGGACGCGGTACGCATAATTTTTTAAGGGCATGCCATTGGCATTGAGGCGTAAATAGGCCAATGCATAAATATTGAACAATATATTATATATATATACAAATATCCATATACAACTGCATAAATTACTTTAACGAGAGAAAGCGAAAGCAGAAGCAACGCAGCAAAATCATGCAACATTGAGATTTATCCAGCACGTCGTTGGACTTTGCGGAGGATCGAGGAAACACATATATATATATATATGTATATATATACCTACCTAAACCCAGAAGAAATCTCGAGAAGTACCAAATCCAATTAATGAGAAACAATCACTCAATTTACCTACTATTAGTTTTATGTTTTTACTCCTAATTGTTAAGTGTTATATGGCCTATCGTTAAGTTTTAGACCCACTGGAGGCCCCTGGAAATTATTTACACACCCCACTAATGAATACCCTACGCAACTAAGTTAATTACTACTACCTACGTTTAATCTATGAAAGTCCAAACAAACCCATTCGAACATATTTTGAAGAGCCCGCCAAGGCGAACGTTGCGAATAATCAAAGGCAGTTGAACCTATTACTATACTGAGCTACTACAGCAAATGAATCCGAAGCATGCATATATCACGGCATGGATGAAAACTAACTACTAAACAGCGTTATATTCAAGCAGACGACAAGTCTATACCATAAACAGCAAATACATATTTACATTGAATGTGGTTTAAAAAAAGACGAAAAAGCTTTGTGTTTTAATTTGGGGATCGAATTGTGTAGGTCAAGTAAAAGCATCATTGAATTTGTTTACTATAAAGATATTAACACTTATAAATTAATTTATTAAAGACTTAAATTATTTTCAAAAGCAACCATTTACTTTGAATTATTTACTTTCAAATTTGAAAAATTTAACATTTTTATAAGAATATAAAAAATAATATTTCTTTGCTTTCTTTAAATAAAATCGAAATATAAGCAAAGTTAATGGACTTAGATTTTCAGAAATATAATACCAGTATTGTTTTGATAGTAGGACTCAAACGTTGTGAGGCAAAACTAAGTTACTACATCAAATGTTAAAATTTAAATTGGCGCCCTTCAACAGTGCTGTTAAAGCCTAACATGCTGAACGGTGCTGTTAGGCGCAAATCTCTTTCTTCCAATCTGGTCACACTGGCGGCAGAACATGTGCTCTGACGGAGAAAACAAAACAGCGTAATTTAATTGCAATTTCGTGAGTTTAAAAGCTGCAATCATGGCTGATCATGCGTTCCATCGGCCGGGGCCGCTGAAGCAAGCGAACAAGGCCCACAAAACGGGCCGTCATCGCTCCAAAGGAGCCATAGACAATGCCCAGAAGGGTAAGTGCAGATGCTTGAAGGGATTACCAGGCCTGCGGGTGATCTAAACCACCTCCATCTTGCTCCCACAGGAAAGATTGGTCTGAAGGCCGTCTCCCACAAGCACAAGCAGCAGCAGCGCAAGGAGCAGCGTCGCAACCAAATGAACCAGCTCCGCAAGAACAAAAGGGATGAGGTGCTGGAGCAGAAGAGGAAGCTTGGTGGCCAGAACACCGCTCCCTTCCTCGTCTGCCTGCTGCCCATGCACGAGCAGATCGATCCCAAGTCCGCACTGGCCATCCTCCAGAGCTGCGACAGCGAGCTGGTGGTGGAGAACTCCCCAAGTGGCATTGTTTACATGAATCTTCCGCGCTTCAAGCAGCGCTTCGCCTTTGTCACCCCACCTGTGGGTCGTGGAAATGAGCTAATTGCCCTGGATTACCTCAAGGTGTGCGATACCACCCTGCTCCTGACCTCGGCCGCCTTTGGCGATGACGAGATCTTCGATCGCTGGGGCCAGCGGATCTTTAACATGATGTCCGCCCAGGGAATACCCACGCCCGTGGTGGCCCTCATGGATCTGGAGTCCATCAATCCCAAGCGACGCACTGCTGCCAAGCAGGCGGCCCAGAAGATCATCTCCAAGCTGCTGCCCGAGGAGAAGATCATGCAATTGGACACTGCCAGCGAGGGTTTGAATGTAATGCGTCGCATTGGCGGTCAGAAGAAGCGCATTCTGCACAACGTGGCCAACCGGCCGCACCTCTTTGGCGATGTGGTGGAGTTCAAACCAAGTTCCGATCCCAGCGAGGATCTGGGCACCCTAGAGGTTACTGGCTTCCTTCGCGGACAATCTCTGAACGTGAATGGCTTGGTGCACATACCCGGCTTAGGCGATTTCCAGTTGAGTCAGGTGACGGCACCGCCAGATCCCTACAAGCTGGACAAATCTCGTGATGGCGAGAATGCCGAGGTGCGTCTGCTGGACCGCAGTGATCCCCTGAAGCGCACCTCTCTCCAGAGCGAGAACATACCCGATCCCATGGACGCGGAACAGACGTGGCCCACCGAGGAGGAGATCGCCGCCTCGCAGCAGGAGACCAAAAAGATGAAGCTGGTGAAACGTGTGCCCAAAGGCTATAGCGAGTACCAGGCAGCCTGGATTCCCGATGTCGAGGAGGTGGCAGATACGGACGGCAAAGAAGACGATGACATGAGCGACAACGACGATGATGATGATGATGATGACGACGACGACGATGAGGAGGATGATGAGGACTTCATGTCGTGCGACAACAAATCCTTTGAGGATGAGTACGAGAAGCGGGACTCCGACACAGAAGAGTTTCAGGACAGTGCGTCCGTGGCCTCGGAGGCGGCCGTCAACGACGAGAAGTACGATCAGCAAATGGACTTCCAGGAGGAGCGTGAGACTCTCAAGCAACTGCAGCAGGCGCGCACCGATCAACTCTGGCCGGATGAGATAGACACGCCCTTGGATGTGCCCGCCCACGAGAGATTCCAGAAGTATCGTGGCTTGGAGTCCTTCAGGACATCGCCCTGGGATGTCAAGGAGAATCTGCCCGCCGACTATGCGCGTATATATCAATTCCAGAATTTCGATCGCACCAAGCGTAGGATTCTGAACGAAGCCAAGGAGTTCGAGGGTGTGCTGGTAGGATCCTAAATAATTTAACTAGTAAACTATACTTATTAATATGTTCTTGTTTTTAGCCTGGTTTCTATGTCACCCTCCATGTGATCAATGTGCCGGAAAGCCGCTGGAATGCTTTCAGGTCCGCCCAGCTTACGGACAACATCATTGTGTACGGAATGCTGCCCCACGAGCATCAGATGTGCATCATGAACGTGGTCCTGCAGCGAATGCCGGACTCTGAAGTGCCCCTGAAATCCAAGGAGCAGTTGATTGTCCAGTGCGGCTATCGCCGCTTTGTAGTGAATCCCATTTACAGCCAGCACACCAATGGGGATAAACATAAGGTGAGAGTAATACTCAATGTGCAGTTGAACAAACATTAATCGACTATAATCCTGCAGTTTGAAAGGTATTTCCGCCCGTACGAAACAGTCTGCGCTACGTTTTACGCCCCCATTCAGTTCCCTCCGTCGGCCGTGTTAGCCTTTAAAGTGAATCCCGACTCGACCCTGGCGCTGGTGGCCCGCGGACGCCTGCTCTCCTGCAATCCAGATCGCGTTGTGCTCAAGCGCGTTGTGCTCAGTGGTCATCCCATGCGGATTAATCGTAAATCGGCCACGATCCGATACATGTTCTTCTACAAGGAGGATGTGGAGTACTTCAAGCCGGTGAAACTAAGGACCAAGTGCGGACGACTGGGACACATCAAGGAGTCGCTGGGCACGCACGGCCATATGAAGTGCTACTTCGATGGCCAGCTGCGCTCCTACGACACAGCGTTCATGTACCTGTACAAGCGAGTTTTCCCCAAGTGGACATACGAGGAGTGCCTGGTGCGAACGGCGGAGCACGAGCGACAGCATGCGGCGGCAAACAGCCGAAACTCCAAGCAGATAGCCATGGAGGAGTAATGGAGTATATAACTAAAAAGCTCTTCTGAATAGTAATCAGTGGACAGTTTAAATGGAGTTTTTCTTTGTAATAGCTACACAGAATAGAACAAAATTCGAATAACCTTTGAATTTATTTTATGTGAGTAATGTTTATTTTATAGCTTTCCAAGAAGAAATGTCCATTATTAATATTTTCCTTCCTTTAGTTATTCTGTGAAAACCTGCAAACCACACCCCCTAAAAAGTACATACAATATGTACAGAAAATCCGCATCCATCGTTATTTATGTATGACTGCGTTGTATAATAGGAATAATAGAATTATATTCACAAACAATTGTCTTAACTTAACGATAGAGGCAATACAATATACATACATAAAACATGGATACGATTAAAAGCTTTTCGCATTGCACAAGGATCAAGGATCGGTCGGGCTCTCATATATGGCTAATACAGATTTGTGGCTAGGATTGGGTGGTGGGTATAGGAAGGGTATAGGGACTATTGTTATTCAGTAGTTGATGGACAAACACTTGCGCCGCTTCTTTTGCAGCTGCTCGATCTGCTCGCTTATCTGGATGGGTGTTTGGAAACCTCTGACAATGCTATTGACGGTCAGTACCGTGGCGATGAACTGGCTAATGGATATGTGCCACGACTCGGATGTGTTTGTGCTGCTGCTGCTGCTGTTGCCGCTGCTTGTCGTTGTGGTCCTCCCATTGCCACTCGCCTGGCGCAGTTCCTCCTCGAGAGCCACAAATAGGCGAGTGGTGCCGATGGGCTCTGCAGCGGGTGTGGTGGGATTGCCATTGCTATCCGGTTGCTGGTAACAAGATAGTGCACTTAAGGTCACTAAAAACCTCTTGAGTGAAAAAGCAACACTTACCTCATCGCCACTGCCTCCCAAATTCAGCTGCGTGAAGCTTTCCAGGCTGGGCTCCTTCTTTATGTTGCTGTTGCCCAGCTCGAGGAGATTCTCATCTGCAAATAAGTCAAGAACTTACTTAGGTGCTCTTTTTTTTAAGTAAAGGTACTTGCACTTACAAGCCCTCTGCATCTCTTCATCTTGCACCAGACCCATGATCTCGATGATGCTGCGCCACAGCAGCTGGAAATTCTCCTTGCGCATGTGCGGAATGCTGTGCTGCGAACAGGACGCCCCCTCATCCGGCTGGTCCAGCAGATAGCCGAGACTGCCCAGGCTGCGCGAGTCCGTGGCTGTCGAGTCGGCGCGCTCTTGTCGTGTGGCCGCAACCAGGTCGCTGATCTGTGAGAAATTCGATATAGTCTCAACATTCAGAAGCATGTGGTCAGCGGCCGCAGCAGCTTGTGCTCCGGCTGCCACATCCGCTTCCGATCCCGCTCCCGCTCCCAATCCCGCTACCGCTCCCGTTCCGGGCGGCGTCATGCGAGCCGCTCCCAGATCTGAAATATCCGAAAATGTGTCAATCGATTCGTAACGTCCCTGCTGGCGTAGCCCTCTCTGGGGCCCGTCTTCGTCCCGCCCAGCATCTGTGGATGTTGCTGTACCCTGGAGTGCCGGCAGGTCCACGTAGAAGGTCGAGCTGCGCTGCGCCAACGACGAGGTGTTGGAGTTCAACGACAGATTTGGCGTACGCGACAGGTCCATGAACGTGTTGCCCGAGATTCCGGCCAAGTTGTGCAGGTGCTGGGTGGCACTGATCAGGGCAAAGTCGTCGGCATCAAAATTGTGATCCGAGGGCGAGGGCAGCGCTTCCATCGATTCTGATGCGTCGTTGCTGCAAATGGATTTCCGCCGTTAATTTGATTATCACTTTACTAAGGTTTGCAAAATATTCCATTACAAGGAAGCGACTGGACACACTCACTCAAAGAAATCCTCCGCCTCGAAGGCCTCCTCGGCATCGTCTTTGGTGCGCGGACGCGGACGACGCGAGCGTTCAATCTCCGCTTTGGACAAAAGAGGCGGCAGATGCAGAACGAACAGCAGCTTCAGCTTCTCCATGCTCTTGGTGGAGCAGACCAAACCCAGGGCATTGATAAGCTGGCCAAAGTCTAGCGAACCAGTGCCCCGCTTGTCTGTGAGCTGGTGAAAAGTAAACAAAAACTTTCAAACTTACAGATTCCAGGGAGCTGAGGCAAGGCTAACTCACCCGGAACAACTTTTCACCAATGTCCACACTGACGCACTTTCGCCAGGGTGTGAGCTCCGTGAAGAGCGTGTGGAACACCTCATAGTTGACGCTGTAGGCCTCGTGTCTGTCTCCCGAGGCTCCCGCCTCATGGATGGCCCTGCTTGGCGACTGCGCCACCAGTTGAGGCATCTCCGACAGCGGGCATTGGGCCTTCTGCTGCTGCTGTTGCAGGGACTTCAGGGCATGCTTCTCCTCGCGAATGATGGTGAGCAGCTGGTGCAGCTCATTGCGGCTGAAGTACGGATTCTGGACGTAGGCCTTCACAATGGTCTTCTCGTTGTCAATATCAAACTGTCGCATGGTCAGCCGACGGTGTTTGTTCCGCAGCTCTTCAATACGCTGCTGGGTTATCTCCTCGCCGAATTTGGTGTACGCCTCATGGATCAGAGTCTGTACGGTTTGGGTTTGGATTTTGCGCTCCATCTTTCGCTTGTCCGTAGCGGGAGGAACCTGATACTCCGGATTGTAGATCCCCTCCAGATAGTTCTGCAATACCAACATGGCTTCGCCATCATCCTGGCACTGCAGCAGCTTTTCCCTATTCCACTCGATGATTTGCAGCGAGATCATAAAGATGATTTTGGCGCCCTCGTAGAAGAAGCAGTCCAGGATGTGCAGCGAACTCTCGTAGCTTATCACGCTCATAAAGATGGTGAGGAACCACGAGATGGAGATCATCTTAATCACTCCCAGCTGCTCCAGGTGACCGTGCAAATCGGCCAGATGTGTTTCCACCAGTTCGTTGAGCACGCCCTGATCAATCTGGGCCCCCACCACCTTGTCCTTGTAGTAGTCCGGCAGTAGGTTCTCGCACAGGCTGGCCAGCATCCAGAAGGCGTTCTCCTCGTCACAAAAGAGCAGGAACACCGACGACACAATGTTCATGGCCTGGCAGTAGCCCACTTGCGGATTGCGCAGCGCATAGGCCTGCAGGACTCTTCTCAGAGCTCCGATGCCATCGGTACTCTGGAATGCCGGATGCTCGGGCAGCGAACGCGGCAAGTCTCGATCGATCTCGTCGTGTGCAAAGCAATTCTTGATGCAGGCCGCCTTCTCTACCAAATCCTCGTACAGGCCCGGGTTCATCTCTTTGTCGTGAATCGCCCCCGAGAAGATCAGCCAGATCTCCTGGCGCAACTTGTCGGGAATGCCCTCTACAATCAGATTTATCACGTCCGTGGTGCGGAACATTCCGATGCCCCGTCCAAAGTCCCGGAAATGCGCTTCCCAGCGCAACATTTTCTCCTCTTGTTTCTGCACGATCTCCGAACTGAACTGCGTCTTGAATGTGTTCATCAGAGCGGTCTGTTTGCTCCACGAGATGTCGTATTTGGCCCGTTCCCGACTCACAGGACTGTTATTAATAAGAAGATACGAAAGTAAATGATTTTTTAAGCTATGTTTTAGAAGCCTAAACTTACACATGGATTCGTGCGAGAAGATCTGTGATCTTGGAGATTAGCACATCTCTGTCCACGATGTGAGCAAACATAAAAGGCACATTCTCCGATGTGATGATGACAATTTGATTTTCGAACCGTTGCTGGCCATCATCTTTTTTCTCCACACTCTAAATAGAAAGAATTAATTGAATTAAACGTAATCTTGTATATTTCCACTGCCCACCTTAATGGTCTTCATGGGTATCACCACGCTGACCAAATCCTTGACATCGCTACGAAAGCATAGGAAATTGGGCGACAGATAGATAAAGCCGGAATTAAACCGCTTCGAGTAAGGTGTCCAAATATTGGCCTTGATCTTCCCATCAATTATCTCCGACTGCGGCAGTCGGAAATATATGCGAAACTCCTCTGATTTCTGGCGAGCTGTTAAATCGCGCAGCAGCACGGGCTTCTTGGATGTCTTGTTACCCAACCGGGCGAAATTTGAGGGATCGTGGTCGACGACGGGACTGTCAGGATCATGGATCAATTGCTGTATTGCCATTTTGTTGAGCTGCTCGATCAATAAATGCGCCTCGCTGGCGTTAAAGAGCATTGTAAAATTATACGTCATGTTGTTGGTGGTCTTCAGATAGATCGTGTTTGCATTTCGGCTAATGTCCTCTAGCTCTGCAAACCGTATAATGCGCTTGATCTCCTGGCCCAGCATATAGGAGTAATAGCAAACGTGGTTCAGCGAGATGTATAGCTGACCCTGTCTCGGGATCTTGTTCTTCACGTATCTGAAATGGTAAATCCCATTAGGACAACCCCTTTAATGATATAACAAGCTCATTATTGCTTACGTGGCTGAGTAGGAGTTAACCAGTCGCTCTTCTTCGGGCATTTTGAAGATCTGCCTGAATTGTGAAGTCATCACCTTGAAATCGGCCGACTCGCCAGTATCATCTTGGTTGTTTTGCGTGTATAGTGACTGGATTTTGCATATGGTGAAGTTGGTCACCTCGTCCTCGTTCTCCATCTCGTCCAGCACTTTAAACAGATTGCTCTGCAGCCATTCCCAATCCTTGACTATCTCATCCTGGGTGATGCCAATGGCGATTTCTGTGGGTATATGTTGGTTTTATATTATAGATATGAGCAGGTGAATACTAAAACTTATTGATAACACAAGAATAAATGGTTTTTGTTATGATCATTATAGCAGTAAATCCAAATAAATTAATTACACAAATCATTGATAACATAGATAAGATATACTTATTAATGCAAAAGCCATACAAGCTCCTTATGTGTCAAATATTCTTTTCGGTTTTACTTGTAGATCGTTTAAGTAAATAATAATATTATGTTATGAATTTTTACTAGTGCACTTTCAATGTGCTCTGTTCAAGTTAAACAATCCATATCATTATAATTTTGTTTTTTTATGAACTCGTAAAGCAAAGTACTTATTTGATTGCTTATCAAGAAATCTTTAAATTTTAGAAAGCTCAGACTGTAGCATAGAATCGATGATAAAATTTGACTTAAGTAAATAAATACATTGTGTTAATAACGTTTTTATAAAAGTATAGGCATTCAAGTATTAAAAGTACACTGCTCCTTCTATAGCCTTCCATTCTTAATATATTTAAAATTGAATAACAAAAGAAATGAGCCAGCCTCCGCAGCTTTTGTAATCAGCCTCGTTCCGTGTTTACGTAAGCGATGCGAGGGAACCGTAGATGAAAGAAATACTGGCATACTCCCATAAAAGCGTCGCCAAACCCGATGATTCACGGTCATAGATTGCTGGGCACTGGGGCTGAAGGAACTGGAACTGATAAGGCGGATGAATCCGAGGAATGGGACCTACCGTAAGACACCTCCGATGAGGGCGTCTGGTGGAGGATGCGGTATGGAGCCGGCTTGGTGTTCATCACGCTGTCGTAGGTGCCAACCAGCATGGATCCGAATCCCCGGGATTCCCCGTGGCCACGTCGCTTCTGCAGGACAAAGTATCTCGAGTGCATCTCGGCAATCCTGTGGGCGGAACGGGTTTTTATATAGTCGGTTCTCGTTAGGGGGACCCACTCTAATGGGGCAAAATCTGGGGGAGGGGGTTTCTTTTTTACGCAGCAGGAAACACAGTTGGAAATCAATTTTCAAGCTGCTGCTGCTGCTGCTGCCGCTGCTGCCGACTTTGCACAGCTGCCTCTTTTTGCGTTGCGAAATCGGAGCCGCCGATCCAAAGAGTCTTGGGAGTCTTGAACTCGGCTCAATTAGTTATCAACAAATGCAATTAAACTAACTGCAAGTACGGCGTTTATGCGTGACCCTATTACGTGATCTACGTCACTCCTTTTGGAATGCATTTCGTGATAATATCTTTCCGTGAGACACCTTCCATAAACACAACATTGCATATACACATGCCATTTATCCACCCACACACACACACACGCACTCATGCAGGCATGTTTAATTTAGATTTTCGGCATTCCGTGGTTCTAGCTTTAAGTTCGGTGTAAAACTCACCAAAATGCCGAGGGCAGGAGCAGCTCCTTGGGTTGAATCCACATTTTGATTATCTGTGGCCCGTTCGAGGCCTAAAATTAAAAATTACTCTTTGTTTAGTACTGCATCGAGCGCTGATTGTTGTTTTTGCGGCAAGTGTGACCGTTGACTGTAAAGCGGAAATAGGCACTAAGAACGAAGCGAGCTATTGTGAATGGTTTTTAAAGCGGGATATTTAAATTCGTAAAAATTTTACGGTAAAACAGTGTAATTTAATAAGATAAAGCTATTCGTTCCTGCAGATCAGCATAATCAAATTTATGAATCTTTACAAAGTATATTAAAAATATTACTCACTTTTTTATCGATTCAACAACGGGTTGCTCCAGAAGCTATGATTCAACATTTTAACAAACACACAAAATGGCAATAAATATTTAAGGGAAGAAGGATTTCAAATTTTTTTATTTTTAACTAGTTTTACAAATTAAAAAAGACGCAAAATTCGGTTTTTGTTTTTTTTTTTTAATTTTTTTTACCCTTTTAAAATAACAAATAATATCCAAATTATTTCCTTCTAATCTTTAACAATGTTTTATATTATTTGTGGCTTTTTATAAATTTTTATTCTAAATCCATTTTAAATTTGTAGTAATCCTTGCTTTTGTTTTAACCTCCAAACTGAAACCTATTATTTGTGAGACTATTTCAAAACATAACGAACGTGTCGTGCTACAAAATTACTAGTTTTATTCTCAACCCTGCAAAATCGTTAGTGTTTTGCAAAAATGTTGAAAAAATTCGTGGAAGTAAATGCAGAATGCAGTCCCTCGGCGAATCCCTACGAGGTGCGGACCTATCTGGGCAACGAAACGTCGCCGGAATGGAAGGCAGAAAACTGTCCACCACGCGATCGTGTCTGCCCGAAGAAGCCCCCTAACTCCACGATCTCCCAAGTGATGACCATCGAGGATGAGCTGCGCCGCATCCACCAAAAGGCGGAGGAGTCTCGCTTCATTCGCCCATACAAGAAACGCTGTGCCCTCTACGACGATTACACCATGTGCATCGTACCTCAGCGTACTGCTGCGGAGCTGAAAACGCACGCCGAGATGCGAGAACGTCTGCTGGCAGCCCGCAAGGATTTCGGCCTGGTCGAGCACGACGCCAGAGTCGAAAGGACATGTCCCAAGGACCTGGTGGTTCTCAACAGTCCCATGGACATGGGCGAGGAGGAGCAGCAGGCCGAAGAGGGGGAGGAGGAGGAAGAGGGAGACGTCAAGCCACAACTAGCCACTCCCGAGTGCAGTTCGGACATGATCATTATTCCTGATAAGCGCATGGTAAGCGAAAAGATTTTATTTTTCTCATTCCTTCAAATTATAAGTAGTTTTAGTTCCCCAAAAAAAAATATATATAAATATTAATCATACGAACTTGGAATTATCAAGTTTACATCATAAGCAGTGCTTTTTTTATTTGTTTTGAAATCAATCAAATCCGATTTGAGTTTTAAATGAATAAATAGCATGTAATCGTAAAGACGTACATCCAATTAAAAGCGAAATTATAGCTTTAAGATACAAATCGAAAATCTTATTAAGTACTTTTATTAAGTGTTTTGAAATAATCATAAATAACAAACGACTTTTTATGGCATTGAGGCTTAGGCTAGCTTAGTTTCAGTTGGTATTTGGTGACTCCTACTCGATCAACTCGATGTCATCGATGTCCGCATAGATGCTGCCCGGTGGCAGTTCGGGCAGGGAATTCGTCCCCGAATCCGTTTGACCTTCTCCGCTCGTCGCCAGCGACAGGGTGTGATACGCTCCTGAGACAGCCTGTTGCTGCATGTGGACGCCAAGCTGAGATATGAGCTCCAGTGCCTGGATGTCTGAGTTCATCAGAGCGAACTGATGGATAATGGCCAGATGGGGGAATACGCCATTTAGGAGGGTGCTGGTGCCGGCGTTCATCTGATCATCATCCGGGCTTTCCTGGTCTTCCTGCGGCGAGAAAACTTCCTCCTCTTCCTCTGGTGAGCTGGCTGGCGAGGGCATCATGCTGGGTTCACAGGTTACCATCTCCACTTCATCATCCTCCTCGAGGTGATCGGACATCAGACTGTTCTCACTGGAAAGATTAACAAAGTCGGGTTTGAGCAGTCCCTTGCTAGCGTCTTCAGCCGGATCAGCCAGCTCCCGTTGCATGAAGTTTGGTAGTGCATGCTTAAACTCCACAATGATTTCCTCGACGGGCAGATCCTGATTTAAGGGATTCTCGCCTTGGTAGCCCAGCTCATCCGCCTCGTACTTGTACTTTCCACGGAATCGGTTTAGCCAGCGATAGGATGGTCTAAACGATGGCAGGTTCAAAACCGCCGCCATCCGCAAAGCCGTTTCCTTCAGTTTTTGGTTCCTTATGCTGATGTTCAAATGGAGTTGGATGCATCTTTCCACCCACTCGTGCAAAAGGAAACTAATGGCGCTCATCTCAAACTTGCGACGCTTGCGAGTCATCTCCTCAATTATAATAGAGGCATCCGCTTCGCTCAAGCTAGCCAATTGTTGGAGCAGGTCCTTTTTCTTGTCCAGGATGCGACGTATTTGGGTGGCGCAGCAGTGGAACATCTTGGCCAGACTGTTCCTTGAGATATTTGTCTCCTCGTAGTAACGGATCACGGCAATCTTTTCGTAAAAAGTTAAAATATTGCGTTCATTGCGACGGGATTTGACCTAAAGAAAGGAAGGTAGTATAAGATCAGTACCAATTTATCATGCCGGAAGTGTATAGCTTATACTAAAACGTAGTAGGTTAATAATAACAATATCTCCTTAAATCAAACAAAATTTTTTTTTAAAGATTTAATGTTTTTGTTTGAATAATCGGCATAGGCTAGAAGTATTTTAATACTTTAAAAGACTGTTCACTAAAAAAGATACATTATGTATTTTAAAACATTAAAAATTAGTTGTCAAAGTATAAAAATGTCCTTTAAAGAATAAAATAATTCAAATGATCATGCTATAAAGAAATTCTACGTTTCAAAGCACATTGTTCAGGGGTAAATATACATAGGTACTATATGTATATGTACTTAAGTTCATGCAAATTTATGTATTTACAAATGTACATAAGTATATACAATACATATGTATGTACATATGTGCTTCCAGCTTAGGCGCGTGCTTGTCTGACGGCCGCGTGTACACTTGAGGCCAGTTGTAAAATCCACCCTCAGCGGACCGCTTTAAGGCCAAGTTAACATACAAACATATCTGGCTTCCACTTCTGAATACTTACCCCTTTGTTGTTATTGTTTCGCCGCAGCGTCGCCGTTGGTAATGCCGCTATAGCTGCCATTTCAATAGTAGTTTTAAGTAACTTTTAACTAGTTTTCTGCTCCTTCCTTATCTCCTCCTCCTCCTATTCCTCTTTTCTGCAAACTGCGCAGCAGCCTTCACACTCAGCCAATTGCGCTGTGTGGTGGCCTCTCTCTCGCCACAAAGATCGTGCGTCAGAGAGAGCTAGTAAACGGGTGTGTGTGTAACTCCTTTTGAAGCTGCCACAAAGAAATATCAATAAAACATAAATAAAAGCATTATTAATACTGCCCATGCAAATAGAAAATTGTTATTAGTCACTTTTATGAGTGTTGGCACAGCACGTTCTCAAATTCGCTTTGACTCTAATAGCTTTTGTTGTTGCGACTCTGATATTTTTACAATTACTGAGTAATAACACTTGTGTGCCCTGTTTTTTTTGGTTCCGCTCTTTGCTCTGCGCGTGTGTGTGTGCGTTCTTTGCGCGCTCCGTATGAAATAAAAACGGTTCACTATGCTCAGTCCCTTTGCAAGGCGTTTGTTGTTGTAGCAACACAAACGACACTTGCAGCTGTTACTGTTGCACAGTTGAGGTCAAAATAATAGTGGAGTTTAATAGGAAATATGTTTACAGCAAAAAAAACACTTAATAAATGTCTTAGTTGAACAGATCTATTATTAATTTTGCATTGTAGAGGTCATAACAGGATTTTTTACTTAAGAATAACGCAAAAAATGTATCTTTGCAGAATATTAAACCAGAAAAGAGTTAAACCATTTGAGAAAGGTCTTAGCTCAACTGATTGCTAATCTTGGGTTGAAAAGACATCAAACAGATAAGAATTGTTTCTTGGGTACAGAAAATCAAGGAAACGAATATTTAGAATACCACAAATGACTATTGCTGGCGTAGAAATAGAAACAGATATTATTAAAACATGTAGTGCCAAATACATCGGCACACATCTTACTTAGTTCATTACATTTTTGTATAATCATAGGAAATCAGGTTTTACATTTTAAAAATTTGGCAGATTTGTATTTTCCTGTGTTAATTTCAAGAAAATACAAAAAAATAAATCAATCAATTTAGTTGAAACTGTACTAAAGTCTGACATCATTATAAATTCTTGATTCTTTGAGCAAGAATGCAGTCAGATAAAATTGAAATTGTAGTCAAATGTAAACTTTAAGAACTTTTGGGCATTTAAAAACTAAATTTGTTAAAAAAATATGAACAACCGTTTGGATTTTTTTTTGGTAAAATTGACAGTTTAAATCAAAAACCGTCCGTGTAGAACGAAAATACTATCCTGCTGCTCTTATTACTAAGAGTGTATGGAAATCTTAAAATATTAAAACCCTTCTATTACCACTATTTTTTTGACCGCACCTGTGAGCTTTGTTGGTCTGGTGCATCGTGCATTGTGCATATGCAAAAGCTGTGCGGTTGCAGTCACTTCGCTTTTGTGTCATTTGCGTTTGCGTTTTGCCGCGTACGTTGTTTGTTACGACTCGCTTGCTCTTGTGGGAGTTGGCCAGAGGGGGTGGTAAAGGCTATAGGCTGGGTTAACGATTAAAATCCGATTCCTACTCGATGGGCTCTCTGCAGAAACCTCTCTTTATCTTGGCTAATTAACTTTGTGCTTGAGATAAGAGCCTGTCTACTCTATGAACGGTTCATTTGCTACTCGAAGTGATAGAAACACGCTCTAATGTTCAATTGGGGTTCATAGCTAAAGTCTTATCAATAGACATAAAGCAATTCGGGTTCATTTAAGATCTTTGGTGTGTACCAGAGCGCTGACCAAATAAAATATGAATAAAACAAATGTTTTATAGTCAGTACTCTTATACTTCTATAAGCGAGCTATGTATTTATATTTATATTTTTATATTTATAAATTTTTAAAGCTCTCTAGCACTATGACACGACGTTTTATCACAAGCTACTTTCAAATTGAATGTCAAAATAGGTCCTTCGAAATAGGTAATGTGAGCTAAAAATAGGATCTCTTTTTGAAAACTATGTGTCTCTGGTTCTGCAACTTTTGCCTTTTCCAGGAACGCCACCTGCGGTCGTATGTTTGCTGTACACTTTATAGCTGTATATGTACAAATGAATATCTGGGTTTCGTTGGGCAGCTGCACCTGGTAAATAACAATTTTAATTCGAATTCAAAGTCATCACCGAGGCGGATTTTGCAGCCTGAGCGTTTTTTGAATAAAACAGCTGCCCTTAAATTGATTACGTCATCAGTTCCTTTTAGGTTTTTCAAATTAAGCATACGTGGCTTCTTTTATTGCTTGCAAATGTCGAAACCTTTTTATAGCAAAACAAAAACGTCCCAGAATCTTTAACAAATGCATACTTTAAGCATAAAAATAATATAATATTAATTTTATTTATCCTAATTAACAAAAAATAGTTATACCTAGACTGGTATGATTAGGGGTAGCCATCTTTTTTGGCCACGTATAACATTTCGTTATTTATTTAAATTGAAAAAATAGTTTAATGACAACTTTAAACTCAGATACAACCTGTTCTGGTTAGGATCTTGCTAGATTTAATTTTATATTATTATCAATAAAAGGAAAACTCGTAGATCTTCCCTCAGTTTAATGCTTATAAGATTATATATGTAAACACAAATACATCGGTATCAAATGCTTTGCCATTAAGAGCTATAATTTCGAGCCCATCCCAATACACCTGTCTTTGGCAAGATCTTGCCGTCTGCAATTCCTGTAACAGCCAAGGCCCCCCTTCTCGTCCCGTCGTAACCCTACTTAGTTTGACATTTTGCCAGCGCGCCTATTTTTCGAGAGGGTTGCGTAGTGGAACCGACTTGTGCTGTTGGCAACTGCGTTTTGGTGTTGGCATTGGTATTGGTATTGGTATTGACGTGGTCGTATGCTATAACTGCGCGATACTGCGCCGCTCACCTGGTTCACCTGGTCGCCCCAGTACTATGTGTCTCGATTTCTGTTCTGTTGGTGTTGCTGTTGCTATTGTTATTGTTGCTGCAGCACGCTACTAGATGACTTGTTTGTTCTGCAGCCGAGACAGCTTCGTATTTGCTCGGGGGTCCGGGTTTCTGGTCTCGGGCTTGTCGGTTTTGGTTGGGTTTTTGGTTATTGGAACGAACCAACGAACGAGAGCGATAAGATTCCGTGATGTGGCACTAAGCGCTGTTCGTTGTTTACTGCTCTGTGGATGGGACGCCTCTGTTGTTTGGTGGCCGTCATCGTGGCCAGCCAGCCATAGAGGCACACTCACTTATACGGACGCACCCCGAACCCACACACATGCACATAGGCACCGCATATAGCGCGGCGACATCAGGTCGTTATAGTCAGTCTAGTTGGCATTTCGTGCTTACCTTATGCCGCTTACTAACTTCTTGATGAGCGCAGAAAAATACAGAAGAAAAAAAAAGAAAAAAATAAAAGTAAAACAGGCCTCCCGTACATACCGTACAAGACCAAGACAAACACAAACGACGCCTCCTATATACGGGGCGTCGGGCATCGGTGGCGTATGCGTGCTATTTTCAGCCGCATTAAAAGCTTATGGCCATGGCCAGGAAAACAGAGTCGCCGAGTGAAAGCACAGAGCTTGCACAGAGCCAAGCGCTGATAACTGGCCATATGTTACCCAATCGCCGGCCAAGACAATTGGGTCTCTGAATAATTCACTTGACTGGCATATCCTAACTTTATTTGTGGCTAACTGCACCTTTTGTTGACACCCCACACACAGAGAAATAGTAAGGGACAAGGGATGAAATGGAAATGAATTGGTTTAATAATTTGCTATTGTTTTAGAAGCGTTTAGAATATCAATAACAACCTTATTTGTTTTACATTATTATCTTTATTTAGTTTTGAAGATTTTCTGATTGTTGGAATTTGTAATTCACTTTAAATTTCAAATGTCTTTTGAAATTCAAAATTAGCTTATATAGTTGCATACTTCTATATAGAAATAGTGCTCTAAAATGTCACTAACATAAGTGGTTTTGCTTAACTATAGAACATTTAAAAATAAGAATTTATGATATTTGGTTGATCTTTGTATGAACTTTCTATGATAATATATTAATTTTTATTAAATTTTTTTCCCTGCCCAGTTGGAGCTAAAGCGCCCCAAGAGTCGCATCTACCTAAACGAGACTGAAGTGGGCCCCCTGGAGGTTCTGCCCTTCCCCTCCTACAATCCGCGTGTCCTGCAAGAGGGATTAGAGGGCGAGAATCTCAAGACCTACGACATCATCGAGGGCTGCAGTCCACAGGATCTGTGGACTTGGAATGTGGGCTACCAGAAGCGCGAGGAGGAACTTGACCAGGAGTTCATCTCCGCTTCCTTACCCAAATATGGTTTGTACTTAACGGCGAAGATATTTCCCTCCTTCAGAGTTTGGCTATTCTAATCTAGCTTCATCGAAATTTTGCAGAAAACGACGGCGAACTTACGCTCTATAACATACCTCAGCAGCTGGAAAAAACCTTCACCGCGGAGATTGTGTTTGGAAATCGAAACATCTATCCCGAACCAAAGCAGGAGTCCTACCGACTGCAGTAAGTGATCACGTAACAGCTTAATTAGTTCTTGGTTATTTGCTCACTAACATTTTAATAATTGAAGACCTTCCATCAGTTTGTTGTGAATTTTATTAATATAAGAATAAAATAAATACATAGATTTAAGTAAAGACTCGTTGTATAACCAATTTTTCACCTCAATCCTTACTTGATACCAGATATTATAATAGGCCCAGTGAGATCGGTGCCCTTATAGTGGCCTTTGTGGAGAGCTTCCGCTTGAACCCCGATTTCTGGACGGCAAGCACCATGGACGGTATTCTAAAGCGCGGCGTGAAGTTGACCAAAAAGAGCGCTAGCCTTAACTATAAGTCGGAGACGAACGATTTTGATATCATTCAGCAGGTGGTAGAACGCGATGCCGCCGTGGAGATCAAGATTCATTTTTCCGGACTGCTGAAGAACGAGCCGAATATGTTCAAGGCCCTATCGCTGTTCTTCTCCAAGTACAATGCCTGCATCCTCACGTCCCGCGATCTCTTCCTACTGATCTGGAAGCGCTGCTTGAACTCGTACTATATCTTCGATCCCAATGGACGGGCTGAAAACTGCGAGCGGGATTTCGAGGAGGGCAAGTGCTCGCTGATGGCCACCCGCTACACGGAGCACCTGGTGCACCTGATCATCAAGTTTAGTGATCTGCAGCCGCAGGATGAGTTCAATATCTTTGAGATAGCTCTGACTCAGTATGGAAAACTTAAGGAGCCGCCTCTGAGGCCGATGGAGAACGAGGAGTACCATAAACTCTGGGCGGTGGTCAATGAGAACTTTGCGGTTAAGACAGCGGCAACGGGTGGCATTCATCAGCCCATTTCCGGGAACGAGAAGAACGCCTCGTTGGTTGTCTCCCTGATAGCTCTCATTTACTCCGAATTCGAGCTGGCCAAACTCTGGAAACCGGGCACTGTGGATGACATCATTAGGTATGGTGTGGCCTACTACAAAACCCTTCGCAAGAAGTTCCGTCTGGATGGCAAGCGCTGGAAGAACAAGAAGCCCCATTTGAATGTGGTGGATCTGCCGGAGATGTTCCTCATGGGTGCTTTCAAGGCAACGGTTCGCAAGCATCCGTTTATGATCAATGGCCATGTGGCGGACTGCAAGAACTATTTGGAGTCACAGCTAACGATGGCCCTGCATCAGTTGTTCAACATGCCCCAGTGGCCATCGGCCCTGCTGCAGATCGACAACTCGGTGTTGGCTTTGTGGCGGGACAAGGAGTTCTTCTATGTCTTCGATCCCTTCCGGCGGAATCGAACGGGTCTGGTGGTGGATCCCGACGACTACACTATCAAGGGTCTGGCTGTGCTGCAAATGCACGCCACCTTTGACTCCTTCGTCCGTGTGCTGTACATGAATGCGCTGAAGATGCGCCGTGGTGGCAAGTTCTTTATCCATGGCATACGGACTGGCTGCATCCGACCGCTGCAGGTGATGACACCGCAAACGAACAAGTTCCCGGGTCTGCAGATGGGTCTGCCCACGTTCACGGATGAGCCGCCGGCACCGGAGCTGAAGCAGAAGAAGAGCATCGAGAGCATTCCGGAGGAAGAACGCTTCCCCACCGTCGATGAGAAGGAGATGGTGGAGGAACTGATTAACATGATCATTAATAGCATCATCAAGGAGTTGCCGGAACCGCAGCCAAAGAGACCACAATTGTACAAGCCAGCCCAGAAGGTGCTATTGCGCTCGGATCAGGAGAACCTAAAGGCCCTGCGGCTGAAGATCAAGCGAGGCTATGAACTGGGCCAGGAGGAGGAGGAGGACCTGAAGAGGGTGCTCACCGTGGAGGAGGAGGTGGCTCTCAAGAGCAACTTCAAGGCGCTGCCAGATGGTTCCTGGATCATTGTGGGCACCACGCAACTTCCTCAGTTGGACGAGGAGATGGCTAAACTTGGAGGTCTACTGGCCGGCTTGGTGGCCATGGCCGTTTCCTCCAAGTACAAACTCTCCACCTGGAATGCCGAACTCATTGAATTCTCTTTGGAGTCGGCAAATAGCTTTGGAGATGATTACCAGAACTACGAGTACATCCTGGCCTGTCTGTTGGCCAAGAAACTACCGGATATAGCCATTGGCGAGAGCAACTTCTCTTTGGAGGTCAAGAAGGTTGTGAAGTCCTCGACCATGGTTCCTCTGCGCCAGGTGTTGGTGGACCTGCTGGTGGATAACAACAGGCTGCTCCTCGTTTGCCAACGCTTCTCCTGTGTGATCTTCAAGCGCTACAACTTTGTATACATGTTCATTGGCTTTCCCTGCAATGCCATCGGCTATCGAAAGGGTGGATCTGGTCCAGCTTGCCTCCTCCGCTTCGTGGAGCTGGATGCTCTGATCAAACGCATCGAATTTGGCTGCAATCCGCAGGGCTGCTCAGTGATGAACTTCATCGTGGCCTGCATCCAGATGGTGGATAATAACCTTCACGGCAGATTCCGACCCTGGCGCAAGGAGGACGATGACAAAGAGGTCAAACAGGAGACGGCGAGGCAGAAAAAGCTGCGGGAACAGCGGCTGGACAAGATGCGCTTCATCGACGAGGAGCTGCAGAAGGAGGACGAGCGCATCCAGATGTTCCTCAAGGCCAAACAGGAGCACATGGACAGGAAGGCTGGAAAGAAACGTGAGTAACTATTAATGAATATTTTACCCAAAAAAATTAATTTAAGAATGCGATCTCTACCCATTATTTAATTTTATTTTGTGGTCCATTCTATCTTTCTTAGTTTTTAATTTTGTATTGAATAATGAACATCAATTTTTCTTAACAAAATATCAATCACTTAAAATGGAAAATCAAACAAAATTAATATGATTTATTTTTCTGCATACAAAAAGTTTTTTGGTTTTGGCCCAAAATTAATTTAGTTAAGTAATAAAAATAATTAGTTTTTATAATCTGTTAATGAATTATTTATTAAAATAACTATTATTTTGATTTATTTTGCTGCTCAATTGAGTTATTTTCTTTAGGACCAAAATTAAGTCCCAATTTGCCCAATTTGAAAATCATTTGATGAATAAGATTTTTGAGGACCTTATAATTGTTGTCCCCATCAAAAAGAAGTTAGAACAATAATAAAATTTTATTTATTTTTGAGTAGTAAACATTGCTAAACATTTTATGGGAAAATAGAAAAGAGAAAATTGTCGTTATGTTTTAAAATACTTCTTATGAGGTATTTTATGTAGTGGTGGTTTTTTTGGGTATATTATTTAACAAGGATTACATCTTTGTATAAAAACCAGAGTTGCTTTTAATGAGTTTTATTGAAATTAACCTGTTCTATTGAATACCACTTATTCTAACGCCTTCGAACATCCTTTACAGCGGAGTACCGAGACATTGGCATCGACGAGGGCGAAGGCGGGGAGGGCGACGAGGAGGAGGACATGGTCGGCATCGAGGAGGGCGAAGAGGAAGGCGAGGGCGAGGAGGAGGTGGAGTTGAAGCACCGCCCTGGCAAGAAGCTACCGAAGGAACTTCGTCGCGCATACAAACCTCGTCCCATTATGTTTGGCTACAGGATGCGCGAAAAGGACTGCAACTTCAAGATCCAAGGCAGTCTGGCGCTCGAGGGCCGTGAGGAGGGGTCCTTCAAGACGATCAAGCCGTGC